TAAGGAAAGTAATTTGTTGTCATTAGGAGTCATATGCAGGGGGAAAGTAACATGTCATGTTATGAGTTACCCTGTTTCCCGGAACATAAGACCTAACCTGAAAATAAGCCCTAGTATGATTTTTCAGGATGCTGGTAATATAAGCCCTACTCCAAAAAGAACCCCTAGTTAAGTGAAACCCCACCTTCTACCCTTGTGCAGCAATCGGAAGAAGAGGACATGACTGTATTTGAATAAATGTAGACTGTTGTACATGAAAAAAATAAAACATCCCCTGAAAATAAGCCCTAATGCGTTTTTGGAGCAAAAATTAATATAAGACCCTGTCTTATTTTCGGGGAAACACAGTAGTCTGGGGGCGGGGTCAGTTTCTGATCCTTGAGTTAGAAGTGTCAGAAAAGAGACCTCTGGACCATCTTTCCTTCCTTGGCAGGAGCACATTTACAAAGGAAGAATCATGTGCTTAACATTTTCTATGAGCATCAATGGAACAGGGCTGGGATATGTGGTTACCATGTAGTCTTATACACATCTGCTTATATGTAAGGTACACCGAATTTAATGGGTTTTACTCCCAGGTAAATGAATATAGGATTGGATCCTTCATCTTAAGACCACACTATATCTTCCATAAGCTGAAATCAATTAGTGTTGCAGAGTCATAATTCAGACACCAATAGTATTTACCAAAACCCCCTATGCTTACCACTGGTGACCAATCACAAGACAAGGGAAGCAAGCTTGCAAACTGCATGAGCTATGAAAAGTCTGACAATCGGCTGTTTCTAGTCCTTAAGGAATTCCATCTTGTAATAACGTACTATATAGTTTGGTCCTTACTTAAAAAGCCAGGCTATTTGTATATCTTTATTTAACTATTAGTCTTCTTTCAGAATCCCTGTGCTTCCTACACTTTTTTTCTTGTGTTTATAAAATGACAATAATTTTAGATTGTTTCCACTAATGAGATTATAGGTTGAATACACATGTAGTAATGCTTAGAGCAAGCATACTGAGATCAATGGCCCATAAATTAGCCATTGCTAACTTGATCCATTGATTTCTGTGGCTGTATTCTAAGCATGCCTAAGTCTGTATCCAGCATGCTCAATCCAGTTTTCATGAAAATTCAGGCTCCACGAAAAGCTCTAAATGCAACGTTTAGTAAGCTTGCACATTTTGTTTTCTTATAAAATGAAATTGATGGTGTAAAGCTGTTTGTTTTAAATGCAGTGTTCACAATGCAAATTATTATGAAGTTATTATTCTGGGAACAAATGGCTCCGAAATGTGTTCCACATCGTTCATTTAAATTTTATGGGTTGTTGAAATGAGTATGCAAATTGTCCTATAAGTCTCAGACTCGTGACAACGTGGGTGACAGATGCCAGCACTGCGCTTGAGAATTAATGCATATGTGCCAACATATATAGCCCAGCAACGCTCCCTGTTCTCTTTCAAGATACTAGCTGGAAGAAGCCTGTCACTGGTCTTTTTTTATTGCTTCTCCAACAATGCTTCTTTGCTATTAATGAAATTGATGGTCATATTATCAAGACGTGTAAAATGAGGTCTGTCTTTAACCAGTATTTTTTGGCATTCTTAGCATGTGTGAAGTTTCGTGCTTGCCCATCTCTGATATCCATCCCTTAACATGTTCCAGGGATCACCAATCTTAAAAAAGAATCTTGGTCTATCAAGATCATTCCAGCCAACAGCCCTCCCTCCATTACAGAGTCCACAATCTGGTTGTTGTATATGTGGGCTTAGAATCCATCATAGAATAGAAGAGACCCAGGATTAAATTCCTCGACAGCCCTGAAACTTATTTGGTGCCCTTGAACATCCTGTGCTCCTTCTATGTGTCAGCCGAGATCTAATTCAAAGTTTGGAAAAGTTAGTTCTTAAAACTACAGCTCCCAGAATCCTCCAGTCACCACGGGCAATGAGTCTGTCTCCCATTAAGACTACAGAGTGTCAGTTCTCTCTCTCTCTCTCTCTCTCTATGGGCAATGAGTCTGTCTCCCATTAAAACTACAGAGTACCAGTTCTCTCTCTCTCTCTCTCCCTTCCTTCCCCAATGATTCTGCCATCTTTTTTATTTCTGCCCATTATTCCTTGCTAGAATTATCTTCAACTATCTCTTTAAAGAATGTTTATATATCCTCTTTTCATATGTGCCTGTATGAGTGTGCGTATGTTTTCCTGTGCAAATTCTAAATCTGATCCAAAGTTTCTTTTGGCAAAATCTAGTGGCCATTATAGCCCCAGAGCTATCACTTTTTGCCCTCTTACCTTGATCATCAGCACAGATTACCAGGGGGAAATCTTTGAGTCCATAGAGCCAATCTCTGCATTAGAAGAGCTTTCTGTATATTTTAAAAACAATCAGCTAAAACAGGTTGAAAAACACTTAAATACTCTAAACCACCTTGGGTCCTTCAGGAGAAAGGTAGCATATAAACAAACAAACAAACAAACAAACCTTTTAGAAACACACATCTATGCCTTCCACTGAAAGAACAGAGAAGAAGAGAGGAAGCTCCGAGTTAGCTGGGAAAGCAAGATTTTGGAACATTGCTCTACCCCAATTTTTTTGGATATTACTCTGGATTTGACCCTGATTTACAAAAAAATATTGTCTAAAAAGCAAACAGAAGGCTGCTGCAGAAACAGCATACTTAGGAAATTGCCCGGATCAGACTGGGATGTACATCCACAAACTATAAGAAATTGTTGTTTATTTTTGCAGAATGTGGTAGTGCCATATGGTATAAATCAGCACATGCCAAACAAGTTGATGTAGCTCTTAAAGAATCCTGCAGGATTATTATTACCTGCTTGAAACCTACCCCACTAAAAAGTCTGTTATTTGGCTGATATTGCCCTGAAATATGTTGAGTGGTGCTCACAAAAAATGAATGAAATAAGAAAATACAGAACCAAACCCGTCCACTTCATGGGCCCCACCTCCTAGGCAGTGACTAAAATCAAGGAAAAGTTGTCTGCGTACATCTCACACTCTAAATACTAAACAAGAAGTGGCTAGGCTAAGCCTATGGAGAACAAAAACAACATGCCTTGCCAAATGGATGAATGCCAAAGAGTACTGTATCTCCCAGCAGGGCAAGATGGACCAACTGGAAGTCACTTAATACATTTCAAAGCAAAGAAGAAAGATCAAAAAAGTAATCAAGTAAACTGTGGCTACTTGAATATAGGACAATTTTTCTGTGAGTGTGTAGAAACTCAACCAGTGCAGCATTTATGTGCATGCAATTTATGCCCCTGTGTACTAAAATGGATCTAGTCAATGGCCAAGATTACGCTATTGAAGTAGGCCACTTTTGGTCAAAAACAATCTAATCAATTTAACATTTTAAATTTGTTTGAACTTTATATTTCTTATATGTCCATAATTTTAAATTATGCAATGCTCCAATATGAATAAAGAATAAAGAAAGAGACCATACCAGCTAGTTTGCATGTCTCAGATATGTGTCCTTGGCAGTGAGAATGTCTCTAGCCTCGTGGCGCAGTGGTTAAAACGCTGTACTGCAGCTACAATATGAATAAATAAAGAGACCATACCAGCTAGTTTGCATGTCTCAGATATGTGTCCTTGGCAGTGAGAATGTCTCTAGCCTCGTGGCGCAGTGGTTAAAACGAATATATGTCCTTGTCAGTGAGAATGTCTCTAGCTCTGTTCAGATGTTCTGCATCCTGGTGAGGAAGACATGCTTAGAAGGGAGCACCTAGACTCGCACTATCCATCATCACATTGTTTATGATTTCGGTGCTGGGTCTGAGGACAAGAAGGCTCCTGATTGCATGCAACCAGGAACTCTGGAAAACCTGGATCCTTACTTGTGTGTAGAGCCTATGCATGAGTAGGAGTTTCTTTTCCCCATGTCTACCACTGAAATGGAGAAGAATGTAACAGCAGAAGGAGATGGGTCTAGTTGTTCCTCTTTAAGCAAGTTCCCTTTGTCAGGTCAGGCCACATCTAAATAGAGATGTGTGTGAATGTCTGTATGAACCTCTTTAAGCAAGTTCCCTTTGTCAGGCAGTATCACATCTAAATAGAGATGTGTGTGAATGTCTGTATGAATACCAGCTTTACCCCTGCAATAATTCAGACTCACCCTACCACTGCCCACTATTGTTTGCTTTCCCTTTTGCTCCATCTGTTGCAATGGGCATTAGCCACTACTGGAGTCATAGTCAATGGCACAAAGACAGGTGGGCTGATGGCTTGATTCAGTGTCAGACAGCCTCTTATGTTCCGTCCCAGGGCCCTGATCCATTTGGGGTCCTGATGCTGGGGGTAAGGCATCTTTAACCCTTTGTTGCCTGCCATGGCCCTGATCAAGTCAGGGGGAAGCATACCTATGATTCACATGGAAGGCCTTCCCCTTGGGGCACTTTTCAAATACTTGAAAGGTAGTCATACAGAAGAGGGGCAGGATCTGTTCTCAGTCATCCCAGAGTGTGGGGCATGCAATAATGGACTCAAGCTACAGGAAGCTAGATTTAGGCTGAATATCAGGGGGAAAAATCCTAACTGTTCGAGCAGTACAGCAGTGGAATCAATTATCTTAAGAGGTGGTGAGTGCTCCAACACTGGAGGTATTCAAGACAAATTTAAAGAACCACTTGGCAGATTTCCTTTGATCTATATTCCTACCTTGAGCAGGGCATTGGACTTGATGGCCTTAGAGGCTCCTTTCAGCTCAATGATTTTATGATTCTGTGACTGTATGATTAGCTTCAAGGAACATTGAAATTTTACTCTAAGTGTAATTGAGTGGCAACTCTTTTTTTAAAAAAATCTTCCTTTCCCATTTGCTGCAACCTGGTGACCCAACTGAGTACCCTTTTAGGACAAGGGAGACCCCGTGGTCCATGTTGCAACCTGCAGAACTTCGGCCTCCTTTGCATTTCACCCCCCCCCTTTGCCTCGTTAACCATCAACCTTCTTCTTCTCTCCCTTTCCTCAGAAGAAATGGATCCCTCCCCTGCAGTGCGCTCTGAATATCTGGTCTCAGGGATTCGAAGTCCTCCCGTCCGAAGGAACAGCAAGCTAGCCACCCTGGGCAGGATCTTCAAACCGTGGAAATGGAGGAAAAAGAAAAACGAGAAACTCAAGCAGACCTCGGCAGGTAAGCAGGTGGGGGACGAGCGATTTTGTCAAGAGCTGCTCTGTGGCAAAATTAGGTGGGATTTCGTTCAGACAAGATTGGTTTTGACTGCATTTTGTAAAACAAGGGATTTATGCAGGGGTGTGCGTGCATTCTTCATTTTAAACAAGGGAAGAAAAAGGAGAGAATATTTGATTGACAGGCTGCAAAATCCAGTTTTGTGAACATCTCAACTTTTCTGTTTTCTTCATAAAGCATGTTTCAAATTTGGCTGGTTTCATAAACATGCTTAAAAGAGGGCCTGATGAAATTTCCCCAAAAGTGGCTTAACAAGAATTCTGGTAATCAGGAAAAGGGACCGTAACAAACTCTGAGGACCATTTAGTTTCCCTCCATGACTAGGAAAAACCGGATCAGATAAGCAGATTAGAGGAGGAAATGCAGATATATACGAGTTATGGATTTCTGCCTTCCTTTCTCTAGAACAGTGTTTCCCATACTTTTTTGAGTCATGGCCCCCTTTTATAATAACCAAGTTATTTGTGACCTCCCCATCACATTTGCATAAAAACCATCTGTGACCTCCCCATCACATTTGCATAAAAAGGCCATTTGTCCTTATTTCCCCAATAGGACAGGCACTACCAGTGCTGCTGCTGCTGCTCGCTTTCCTATTTCTCCTCAACTCCACTGGCACCACTTCAAAACTGGGGAACAGGTTGGGGTTGCTTAAAGGTAGGGAGAAGAGAAAGAAAAGGACTTCGAAGATAGGGGTTGAGTGGAAGGCTTTAGCAGTACCAGGGAGGGGTAACACCTTCACACGGAGAGGATTCCTCTTGGAAACCAGCACAAAGCCTTCCTTGCAGCCACTGCAGAAGAGGCAGGCCATTTATTTTTGTGTCCCCCTCCTGGAGGTTTGTTGTGTTTTTTTGGGGGGGGGGTGTAAGTTGCTACAGTAAGGTGTAGGGGATGATGCACCCTGTTATAGGGGAGAAGTGCCCCCCCAAGAGGCACAGTTCTTCAAGGGAAGGGGGAAACCTATTTTTCCAAAAACGTGAGAAATTGTTTGTTTCACAGGAGGTGTGTGTCAACCTCTCACCACAAAAACAGCCTTCATTCCTGTATCTTCAACGTGAAACATCAACCTGAATGGAGAAAGAGAAGTGGGGTGTTGGAGCGGTGGTAGAAAAGCAAGATCCAAAGTCTTGCCAACCCCAAACTGTCAGCCCAATGCAAAGGAAAATTTACCTCACATTGGGGAGGTGGAAATAATTGTTAAAGATTAAACTATGCCCTGCAGAGGAAATGAAGAAGTCAAACCGGATGCTCTTATGGCTTCTGCCCTGCTAGCAAGAACCAGGCCTAGCTTTGGATAGAGTCAGAACTGCTCTTTGGGCCTCTAACTTATAGGATTGTGAGGTATTTTTGGACTCGAAAAAAGTACCTTTAAAATTTTTTCTGGTAAATCGTTAGTTAACCTAGCATGGGATTGCCCTGAGAAACAGCCATATATGATGAACTCCTAGGTAGAGGTTGGGAGTTTGTTTCCCCACTGTGCCTTCTTGACAGGGGTTGGCTTGATGATCCCTAAGGTCCTTTTCAGCTCTGCCTGCCTGCCTGCCTGCCTGCCTACCTACCTACCTACCTACCTACCTAAACTATGGGGAATGGATGAATCTATCCATTCCTGTACAGCTGCCCTCCTTAAATACCCACAATCCACATCTTATATTATTTATCTGTTTAAAATATTTATATGCCACCTATCTCCTAAAGGATCCAAGGCAGCTTATAGTATTAAAAGAAACAAACCTAAAAGCTAAAATAATAGATTATTACAATATTTTTTTTAAAAAAAATTAATACAGCTGCCCTTCTTAAATACCCACAACCCACATCTTATATTATTTATCTATTTAAAATATTTATATGCCACCTTTCTCCTAAAGGATCCAAGGCAGCCTACAGCATTAAAAGAAACAACGTTAAAAGCTAACATAATAAATGATTACAGTGTTCAAAAAGAATTAAACATATTAAAGCGTTTATAAATAAGAGCAACATTAAAAGTACAGGTGAAAGAAGAGAGTGCAATTATTGACACAGCTTATAAGATTTAAACATTTGTAAGCACTTCCAGCCCAGCCTGGTCCAAAGGAACAAACCTTGGACATTTTTACAACCAGCATTGGAGTAATCACCTTTTTTTATTATGTGACTCCGCAATAAGTCCTGAACTGAAATTAGATTTCCTGATTACTATTTGCTTCTTAGAGGTTCTGCTCCAATGTTTGCCCCCACCTCTGGTTTATCTTTAGGAACTGACATTATGGGGAATATTGACTTATGCTTCCCACTCCCCGCAGAACATAAGCAGTGTGGAATAGAGATAAACATGAAACGCTGATTCAACAGTCTTGTGCTGATTTGTCCTTCGGACAAACAGGTATTTGGCAGTTCCCAGCCCCGCCTCCTCTGACAGGCGCCCACTCAGAGACAGTGTCTAGGTTTCCCTGCCCTGCCTCCTCTGGGTCCTGCTTTTGAGTAGGCAGCTGCTGGAGGAGGCAGGAGTGGAAACAGCCAAACACCTGTTTGTCCAAAGGACGAACCGGCACAGACTGACAAACCATCAAGTTGTGCCCATCTCTAGGGTGGAATGATTTTCTTCCAAAACTTTCTTGGATAGGGATAAAGAGTTTTGCTGAGGGGATGCCTTATACCCACCATTGCAAAAAAAAATCATGTATCCCGTAAGAGTTGCCATATTGGAAAATACGCTCCCACTCTCTCTTCCACTCCATCCCCAACCTCTAGGCCCATGTTTCTGGAAAAATACAAACAAATCATGATGGTATGATCCAGAAAATATGCTACTTCTGCTATGGAAATCTATTTCTGTTTTTGATCAGAAAATATACTTCTTCTGAACATTGAGGTGCTATGGAAATCTATTTCTGTTTTTGATCCTCTCTTGCCTCCAGTGGAGTGCCACCTGCTGGACACCTGTGTCACCTCTTCACAATGAATCTTAGAAAAATTACTCCTTTCAACTCCAAATCCCAGAATCCTCAAGCCAATATGACCAGAAGCCATGCTGGCAGGGGTGATCTGGGATTACTTCTTCTGAACATTGAGGTGCTATGGAAATCTATTTCTGTTTTTGATCCTCTCTTGCCTCCAGTGGAGTGCCACCTGCTGGACACCTGTGTCACCTCTTCACAATGAATCTTAGAAAAATTACTCCTTTCAACTCCAAATCCCAGAATCCTCAAGCCAATATGACCAGAAGCCATGCTGGCAGGGGTGATCTGGGATTTATTGCTCTCAAAACTCTCTCCCCATCCCACCCTTGAATGAGCATCTCTAAAGCTCTTGCAGTGCTGTTGGGCAATATTTCCAATGGGCACCTTTGAGGCTCTTGCCATTTTAGATTTCCCACAATGCTCTGGAATGATGTCATTTTGGGCCTTTACAGGAAATATGAAGGGTGACTTAACAAGTGGACACCAAGCTAAGATTAAAACTGGGTGGGGTGAGCAGGTGGGCAAAACCAAGCACAACCGTCAGTTTCCCATTTTTAGCTATATTGGGATTATTTTTTGATTGGGGTGGTGGTGGTGGTATCAGCTTGGCTAATAAAGTCAGTGGCAGGTGCCCAGCAATGTTGGTACTGATTCAAGGCCCAGTTCCATTGTCAAGATTCATGGTTCATGGCCACTAATGGCCACACCATGAATGTATGCAATGCATAAAAATATCTGTAGTCTAATTCAGGCCTTATGTCCTGGATCCTTCAAGGTCTCCATAAGTGGTAAGGAGATAGGGATGTACATAAACTACTTCCCAAACTGCTTCCATCCAGATGTCTTCAGACCATTCACATTGAACATACATATAGGTTCCTTTGCAGGTCTTCATGTTGAACACACAGAGATGTGAGACACTTCCAGGTGGGGCAGATGTGTAGGGCTAAGGTTCCCAATCATGGGAGTAATGTAGTTACATGAGCTGAAGGTATTTACAGGCTGTTTTGCAGACCTTCATTCTATCTGAGCAAGAGCCTTGGTTATGTCTCTCTGTGTTCTGGCTAACTCAGGGAGCCTTATTGTAACAAAGAACCTCTCCCTCATCTGACTGTTGCTCTGATGTCTTGAAAGTATCAATAGAGGGGACTGTTCCATGAACACCCACTTTGAGAGTGACTGTGTAGAGCTTATGTCTTTTGTCCAACTATTATGGGAAGCAGCTGAGTGAGAGAGCCAATGACTCTTTGATATGATGAAATCCTTATAAATTGTTGGGGGAAGAAAGTTGTTTTGGTTAGAAGGCCCAGTATTACAGCGAGGCGTCAATGACAGGTTGTGTCTGAGTAAGGAGATTCTGAAATTTTGAGATCGAGGTGTCCCACCATCCTGTTCCTCAAGCCAACCACATGTGGCATGTTCTAGTAATTTGTGTGATATAATGAAAGGGGTATTGGACTATGACTGGGACGACTTATTGTTTCCATACTTCTGCAATATCTCTCAAGCCAGTATCGTTTTCAAATTATCACATGCAGGAAGGGACGCAGCAAGTGGGAGAGGTGCCAGCTGTGTGACCTTTTTCAAATTATCACATGCAGGAAGGGACTTTGAAAGCTGACACAGCAAGTGGGAGAGGTGCCAGCTGTGTGACAGTATGTGTGACAGAGCATGTGGCCAATGGTGTAGTAATAAATTGGAAGGGCAGGTACTCATCATGATAGTCCTCATGGTTCTTCTCCAATAAGGAGATTCCAAAAATGCAGGCAACTAGAACAGCTAGCACAAATATATGATTCTTGGGACAATCTGTTTTTCCTCTTCATCATTAGGAGGATTCCAGCTAAGCTCAAGAAGCTAGAGGAGTTTCAGGAGGTGGCAGATAATATCACAGTCCCTACTAGGGATCGGATGTTTGTATTTCTTGGAGTACAAATGCCACAATTCTGCATTCTGAGAATTCTACCTGATGTACACATGCCTTACAGATACCTGAATGTGGCTCACCTGGGAGAAAAGGTCTGATCTGAAAGGTTTTGAGGCCAAGCTAGCTTCCTGTTGAGAAATAAAGCTCTCTGCTAACTCTGGGGCAAAAACAGCAAGGAAGGGTGGAGTTAGGCCTAGCTCAGCTTCAAAGCCTTCCAATCTATGCCTTTTCTCCCAGGTAAGCCACATTCAGGTGTTGGTAAGGAGTGGGACATGGTGTTGCTGAGGGTTAAACCACAGAAGCCTCTGTGCTACAAGGTCAGAAGACAGCCACCATAAGATTGAATCCACACGACGGAGTGAGCTCCCGTCGCTTGTCCCAGCTCCCGCCAACCTAGCAGTTTGAAAGCATGCAAATGCAAGTAGATACTGTAAATAGGTACCACCTCTGTGGGAAGGTAACAGTATTCTGTGTCTAAGTCGTATTGACCATGTGACCATGGAAACTGTCTTCGGACAAACGCTGGCTCTACGGCTTGGAGACAGGGATGAGCACCACGCCCTAAAGTCGGACACAACTGGACTAAATGGCAAGGGGAACCTTTACCTAAGGAGTGTATAAGTCAGGCAGAGCTCCCGGAATGAGGAATTATGGGCTTTGCTGGCAAAGAAGTCTGAAAATCTCATCCCCAGTCCCTGCTACTCTGAAAGTCCTGAGGCTTTGGCTTTGCAAATCCTGACTGTACTACACCCTTGCTAATTTGTCATGCCCTCTTCTATGCTCTTTTTTTAACATGGTAATTTGAACAATACACTGGCCTTTGGTTTAACAGTTGTGTACATTGACCTAAGAACCTTAGAAGAACAATGAGATGCTGAAGTTATGAAAAACTAATGCCATTTCTGAGAAATGCAGAGGGGGAAAGCAATTCGCCTCACCGCTCACCTGCTGTGCCATAGTTCATGCTGGACATTATTCACCCATTCATGCAGGCTTCTTTTGATTTTCATTTCCATGTACTGTCAAGCTTTGATGTTCCATATTGATCATGCTCACCCCCACCCCACCCCACCCCCCTTTTTGCAGTGTTAGAGAAGAAGACAACTGCAAGGCAAGGCCGGGACGAGATAATTAAGAAAGGCCTTCTGGAAATTATGGAACAAGGCAAGTGAAACCTACCTTCATGTTTTTACATTCCTTTGTCCTTTCCATAAGTACATGGAAGGGGTTTTCCTAATAAAACAGCAGGGGGGGGAGCGAGCTGCTTTAGCTGGGCAGTGTAGCATTTAGAACAGGGTTGACTCAAGACATTTTGCTGCCTGAGGTAAGGTAGCATATTGCCTCTCTGAGCCCTCAAAGTCAAGGTGCTGAGTACCCTAGCCCCAGTCATATTTCATAAAAGCCCACAAACATCTCTCTCCATATCTGACAGTATGGAAGACTTAAATGATGTTGTCCTTCATATTGAGATATGTAATGGGGGTTGAATTTCTGGGAGCCTTATGCTAAGCTCTCTTTCTGTCATGCACTACCCATAATATGTATAGATACAGTCCCTGTACTCTACAAACATGTATCAAAAGGATGTGCTTGCCCAGCCCTTCTGTTGTGCATCCTTGCATGTTCTTGTGTTCTCGTTGGCACTGGAACTGAGAAAACAGTGTAGAATGGAAGGAATCATAGCTCATGATTCTACCCTAACATGGAAGAATGCTAAGCTAAACCAAAGAGGGGGGAAAGTTCCTCTCTTTTTTCGAAGCACAACTCCCAGAATACTCAGCCAGCATGGGGCCTTCTGAGGAGTTGTAGTCCAAAGAATGAATGCTCCTTTTGTGACCTGTATATCTTGTGATCTGGGCTCCACTTTGTAGTGTAGGCCTGCATCTGACATTGCACCGATGATGTAATATCTGTGTGATGGGAGCTCCTCCTGTTTGCCCCACTCTACCATGGGGAGCCATATGTGCTGTCAGAGAGCCACCTCTGGAGCAGGTTTAGGGGTCCGTGGAGGGCTGCAGTGAGCCAGGGAGGTCTTCTCCAACCATGGAAGGCCACCACTGGACCCTATGCATGCTTTGTCTAATGATACATCCTCTTCTGGTTCTATAATTAGCATAAATAGGAACAGGAAACTGCCTGGGCCTGACAACATCCAACCCTATATTTTCAACTCTGGCTGGCAGCTGTGGCTCTCCAGAATTTCAAGGCAGCTTGTTTCATAAGTCTCTTAGATATTTCCTCATGTTCTCTCATCCAAGTCATAACCTGGCCTGACCCTGCTTATCTTCTGAAATCTGACAAGCTGTGCATTTAGGATGGTGTAGTGGATGAGAAATGACCCATTTGCCATTTCACGCTCTTGGGGATATTTTAGCTGATGATTTGATCCTTTGCTACATTTTACCTCCTCGCTGCCGTTATCAATATGGCTTCTGTGGTCTCCTCATTACTTTCATCTGATGTGTGCTAACACCAGAGCTTTGCATGTATGATGCTTTGTGTTCCTCAGCCATGTTGACGTGACTGATTTAGTGTGATGCTACGACCAAAAAAGGAAAGTGGCTATAAAGGTGTCAGAGGATGGCCTTCTGAATAAGGGGAAGAGATAATTAACACTAAAGATGCCCACATATACCAACTTATTTTGTGCCTGAATAAAGGCCGCACAGATTGGCATTGCCCCCACCCTGAGTCCTTTTGGCGATACTCCAGCCAAAAGGTCTGGGTCTGTGATGGCTTTTGTATGTTTCTGGTTCTCTGCGCCAAACCTGCTCCTGGGACAGGGAAAATGGCAAATGGCAAGGCCAGATCATAGATTGAAGGGCAAGGATGTTGGCAAGCTTTTGGGTCCAAGTTCCAAGTCTTGAGTCCGAGCTTTTGGTACCAAGTCCCAAGTCTATATATGAGTCTTTAGTAACAAGTCCCAAGTCTGAATTTGACTCTTTCATACCACATCCAAGTCCCAAATCTGAGTTCCTATTAAAAAATAAGCTTTTTCCCCTGGAAAAAAAGGGAGGGTGAGTGGGTTTTGAATCACGAGGTGAGTCCAAGCCATTTAAAAAAAAAATGAGTCAAGTTGTTGGTGTGATTCCCCAGGAAAAATAGGGAGAGTGAATGGGTTTTGAATCACGAGGTGAGTCCAAGTCATTTTAAAAAAATGAGTCAAGTTGTTGGTGTGATTTAAGTCCAACTTGACAGTGAAATCTGTGACTTGAGTCCTCATCCCCGTTGAATGGTGGAGGCAGGACAAAGGGGCCAGTAGCAATCTGCAGGAACTGGGCACCCTGATTTAGTTCTCCTTTTCCATTTCGTGTTTTCCAGCCTCTCAGAGAAAGTGCTCATTGGCTTCCTAAGGTACTGGCTTCCGTAGAAAGGGAGGGACCTTAGAAAGTCAGTGGGCACAATCTTCTTTAATTCTGCCTTCAAAGAGGAATTCAAGGGCCTTGCAATTCTGGACGTTTGTTACCCTTCCTTTCCCTGCCTTCGGTCTTCCTTTTCTTGAAAGTATTGGAATTGCAATGTATTGGTATTAATGATTTAATCCACTAGCTAGACCTTGACCATGAGACTCTGATCATTTAATCAAGGAGAACTGCTATGCCCAAAAGACGTTGATGGTTTATCAAGTGGCTATTGATGACAATGACCAGAGGTGGTTTGTTGATATGGATCAGCCGAACTGATTCCATTTTTGGTCTCTGTTTGGTGATATGGCTCAGAAAGAGCAGATTCTGAAAACAAGAGGTGGAGACAAAAGAGAAGGGTGACATTTCTGACCTTGGTCCAGGGATAGGAGACAACAGATAGGTCAAAAAAACTGGACAATAAAGAAGTGGAGAAGTGTTTGGTTATGACAGAGCAGACAAACCTGTGGGCCTCTCCAGATGTTGCTGGCCTGCAAATTCATCAGCCCTTGTCAGCACAGTCAATAGTAAGGGATGGTGTGAGTTGAAATCCAACAGCAGCCAATATCCGACCAAATAGTTGGATATCTAGTTATCCAGTGCTGGTACAAGCGGGCTTTGCTTCTTCCGGCTCCCAATCTTAACACTCTGTGGTGCCAGAGATCAGCTTCACAAGGTTTCCCAGCCCTCCGGAACAAGTTGCAGTAGGAAGGGGAGAGGCTGCTGATTGTGATGGAAGCAGTTGGGTCTAATGGATAATTGGATTTTCACCAGCATTTGGAAAGCTGCAGATTCCCCAGGTCATGGGTGTGGGTTTCACTGTACCTGGTTTCATTGAACCTTAGTGAGACGAGGGGGAGCTACTGTTTCCAGCTGAAGATATCTACGGAGTAGAGGTGAAAGCCAATTATTTTAATACCTACAGAATATAAATGGTATTGCAATATATTTTCATGTATTTTTATCCCATCTTTTAAAGAGCCATTTGCAATATTTTGAAATCTCCAAGCAAAGCTCTCAGTACTTGGGACATACCTGATCTAACTGAATTTAAGCTTTGGTGAGTCCCACTGATTTTAAAGCCAAGCCTGCTTTCACTCTTGTGAGGTCTTTGCATAGTGGAAGAGAATGCTAAGGATCATAGGAGGCTGTCTCACATCGAGTCACATCGTTGGTTCATCTAGCCCAATGATATCAACTCTGACTTGCAGCTGTCAGTCAATTCTGACTGGCCGGGCTTTAGGCAGAATTCTTTCCTAGCCATACCTGAGGATCCCTGGTATTTTTCTGGAGATCCCCCCTTCCAAATAGTAACTCTGCCTGATCCTGCTTAGCTTCTGATATCTGATGAGATCAATGTACTCAGAGTGATGCACCCTTTCCACCCATCACTTAGATAAGGTGGACCTCATGCGGACATTGCACTGCTTGAAAAATTGCACGAATTTGTCATCTGGGTGGAATGGTGGGGTTGTAGAGACCCATTCATCAAAACTCCAGTGACTGAATGAACTGAGCCTTCGACATATATTTAACTGTCCTACTGAAATAAAGATGAGTTGAAAGGATGTAATCTGAGCCCCTGTTTTATGATAATACTACAAAAACAAGTACTGCTCAGACAAGTGCTATCCATCACTCAGAAATACGGGGGTAAAAATCACTTTTTTTTCTTTTTAAAAAATACAGCAGTCTCCGGAATCCCATAGCTGTGTTAGGTGGGGAATTATGAGAACTGTAGTCCGCAAAAGTAATTTTCCCCATCACTTCATCTGATACAGATTTCAGGGAAAGAGTTAAACATGTGTTTCATTTTCCCACATTGCCAAGAATTGGACGTGCCTTCGGCTGGACCATGTGTGAAGACTCATCTGACTTATACCTCAGCATGATTATCAGTGAAATTTCAGGGGACTATATCCCAAAGTAGTAGATATTAATGAAAGTGACACATTATGGGACTATGTGCTCTGGCTTTAAAATACGCATTTCAATGATGTGTCTGAACCAATCCCATTCTGAACTAGGTTTCATAGGGGTTACATGGGCAGACATCATCAGGTTCATTTTCATGTTCAATTATCTTTCTTTTGAAAGATAATTGATTTTAGCTGAATGCAAACGGTGAGGCTCGCCCATCCGCATTGCACTTAGGATGATAAAGAAATGTTAAAACTTTCCCCCTTCCTTCTCTTCAGCCGTACCTTCTTCTGTTTCACCTTCAAACAGTCCTTGGAAAAGAGAATAGCATGAATTGGGGTTTTGTTTCTTTTCTTTGTTATGGTCATGTATTGCCAATGAAAGCTTAGAGTGAGCAAATTTACAATGCTACACAGTTATCCAGACTGGAGAGGGTGAATAATGGGTCGCCAGGAGCAATCTAGCATGATCCATGTTATTCCTTTCCAACACAATAGATGTCTTGGGTCTCGAGGGGTTGCTTTACGGTTTTTTTGTAATGCACACCATTTATTAAGCTCTGCTTAAAATTCAACCTCAGTGTCTTTTTTAATAAGCGTTCATAAGCCTGTTCTGATTAAGATGACATATGCAGCAGTTACATCCTAATCTTTTCCAATTAAATACTATTTGGATGCAATAATTTGCCATTGTCAGATCTGCTATATTATGCTAAGCAGAAGGCATTAAATCTTGGACATCCCTTGAGTTTCTGTTCGACTGGAGTGATGGTACCATTATCCAAAGTGGAGTACTGGATCCTCTTCCATTTCTGCCTCTGAATGGGCCCAATTTTTTCTT